TAGTGCAATGGTCTGAGAAAATGAATGCAGTGTGCTCATTTTACCCCAGGTGGTTTCTTCATGTTTTTTTGATTTGGAGAATGAAAAAAAAGGAAAAAAGAGGCTATTGTCCTTTAAATAGTTTATACTACATTGCATTATCCCATATGGGGCACATACACAAAAATGGCTTGATCTATAGTCTTTGAAAGTCACCCAGAGGCTGAATTTGTAAGTTTAATTTAAGCTGTAAATGCCCTCACAGCTCAGTTTGGTCTTTCTTTCACAGAAACATTTCAGTGCATTCAGACTTCAGTAGCTTACTTTTGCAAGATTAGAGGCTGAGGAGGACTGCTTATCCTGTTTTGCTCCTCACAGTAATAAATTATGACTGGGTTAAAGTCCAAATGCTGTCTATATTCCTCTTGTACTTCACATTTTGGGCTCCCTGCCATCAGGAATTGAATGGGGCACTGCCATATTAACGAGAGAGAAGCATTCTGATAAAGTTTGTGTTCTTACAACTTCTTTTAGGACTGCAGAAATCCACTTTGCTTCGCTGTGGAGTGAATTTCCTCACAACAGTTGGACAGGATATTTCTGCCTCAGAGGAATGTTGTAAAGACAAGCATTTGCAGATTTTTTGGGGTTACAATATATGACAGCAGCAGATGCCATGTGAGTATAAAAGAGTCACCCTATCAGTGCTGTGCCACTTCTTTTGATGCCAAGGAGGTCCTGTGTTCAAAGTGTTCAAATTTAATAAGTGGAAAATGATTACAGCTCATTGTCTCCAGTCTCCTATTGGATGTGCTTGCCTTGTGAGCATCCTGTGAGGGGCAATGTCTAGTTTTGTACTTCATGAGCAAACTACAAACCCACCCATACACAAAGTTATCTCGTGTACCCCAGCTTCTGTTCCACTGCAAGGAGGGTCTTCATCAAAAAACAATGCAAGCTGAGGAAGAACAAGTTAGGAGAGAGATGACTGAGGGGCTAAGACACAACTGAAAGCCTAAAATGAATTGTTTCAGCAATAACCTAATGCAAACTTTCAGCCAAATCAACTAAAAAGGAGCAAGTATCAGTATGAGACGTGGCTGCATTCTGAAAGCTGAACTCTTAAGAAATATGGGTAGGAAGTCTTTACTGTGAAAAGCTAAATTGATAATGAAAAATAGGTCTTGTAAGGTGCATTTCATTTTTAGATATTGTATTCTAAATTTTTGTGGGTTTGTATGATTTTATTTTTCATTATAGCACAGTATTCTAGGTAATCAGAAAAATAGTGAAGGATTTCTGTAATCATTTTACAGAATACATATTTTTCTGAAACTGATTAAATCTGAGGTTTGGATTTGTGATTCACTAAAAGTCTTTCAGCCAACAATGGGAGATACAGTGGTACAAAGACTTCAGAACTGTAATTTGATTTTTTCCTACCCTTTGTAAAATCAGAATGAGAGTCTGGATAGAAATAATATCCCTGATCCTTATGCCACTACATAAGGAAGTTACAATCTGTCTTTTAAACCCATTTTTATCTATTGCCATTATTTATTAATTTATTTATTTATAATATATATTTATATATGTTTATATAGTGTATATAAACAATATATTTATTGTTTTTCTTATATCTATCTATTATCTTCCTTTGTTTTTATCTTGCAAAGACTAAAATCAACAAGAATTCTGGAGATTCCACTATTCACTATTGCACTATAATATTATAAAAATTATCCTTAAATGTGTTCATTTGAACCAAGATGTGCTTCTTGTAGCCCCAGCTAAGTCATAATGGTGCCTCATGATTGTGCTTGTGTTGATTATAATTGTATTGCCAATTGCTGCCAGGTTGCACTAAGTGCATCACTAAAAAACAGATTTCTGTTCATTTACTGTTGTACTTGGCTCAGACTCAAAATTTCTGATGATTTCATTTTTTTCCCCAGTCATACTTGGCCCAGACATTTCTCATTTAATGCATACAGAGTTGTCCATAGAAAATTCCCTTCTCCAGTTGATTTTCTCAATACATCGTCCTTGGAATAATTGCACTCTCTCCTTTTTGTGCTGGTTCATTCTCAATAGCCAGTCTGTATTTTCATTCCTTGTGTTCATGACCACAGTCAGAATTCATTTCTGTGACATCTTGATCAATGTTTTTTTTTAAAAAAAAGATTCACCACACCATATTTTCACTGTGGCACTCCAGCCCTTTTGGTTTAGTCTGTACAGCTGTATTTTATTTCTTCATGATTTGCTGTTTTGTGCAGTAAATGTATTTTGCCAATATAAGAGATCTCAAGAGCATCCTTAGGGTGAATATGAGCTTAATCAGATAAAGGTTTCCTCTGTGCTCATTTGCTTTTGTATATGGAGATGGCTCTTTATAGTTACTGCTCATTGAGGGCCACTGGAATGTCAGAGAAACATGAAACAGCTCCTTATGACTTATTCCAGATAAATTAACCAAAAAGAGTTTATAAAAAAATGAAAATCAATTTGGTCTTGCTCTTTGCTTGAGTCTCATACTTGACTATTGTACTGCTAAGAGGGTAATAAGATCTTTGGTTTTAAAAAAAAAGTTAAGTGTAACCTTGTTCTTGTCATGACTTGTGAACACATTGCCAAAATAGTGCAATCAAAGAGGCCACAGGGGTCAAACTTGAGGTTTCCAGTGTTTCCCACATATCAAACACAACATTAGTAGAACTCTAGTTACAGGTGATATGGGATGAAGAATTACCATTAAAAACAGTTTTACTGGGAGGCTGACCTAAGGGGAGGAAAACTTGTAACTGAGGAAGAATTCAAGGATGACAGGTAAGAGTGGAAAGAGTCCAACCACTACACGACTCATATCCCTAGGGAATTACATTTTCCCAGAGAGATGAACAGAGATTTCAATTATGAAAATTAGGCAGTGGGCAGAATAGTTAAGTGCTGGTCATTTTAGAAAAGAAAAAAAAAAGTTCTAACTAAAATAACTCTATAATTATGCAAATCAGGAGCCTCTTTCCCTACTCACAAGGTGAAAATCTCAGCACATGTATTAAGGCAGAATTTCTTCCCAGGACTTTGTGATTCCTGTCATAGAAAAACAGGGAACTTGTGTTTGCATTCAGTAGCTCATTTGGAAAACATTGTTTCTAAATCCTGCCCTTTGGGCTGTGTCTGGCATTGTTTTACCATAAAATTCACACAACTTATTTCTAGAGGCTTTTTAATAAGTAGACTTCAGCCTGGGAAACACTTCTCACTTCTGCCAGAATAGTCAGGTACAGAGAATTACACCTAAGAGTTGTTCAGAGCTCTCTGAAACATAAATACTAACAATCATTTTTGTGTCTTTTACTGATTTTTTTGGTGTGGTATATTTAGTATGATATATGACATTTTTCATATTTTTGTTTCTTTATGCTGTCCCAGAAAAGCATAGGTCCAAAGAGAAATTCCATGAAAATGAGGGAAACTGCTGAAAATCAGATAGTGGTCCTTTCAAAAGGAGTGACAAAGTTCATAGCTTAATTACAGTATAATAAATGTGAGTTTCTTAGCAAAAGCTGCAGAAGACAGAAGACTGTAGCTGACTGATGACATATTTTGATGCTAAATATAAAACAGAAAGTAGGTATCGTTGCCATGTCACATTTCTGAATTTTCAGAGCAATTATATTTTTTTAAAGATCAACATTTCTCTCATCATCATCATCAAAAACCAGCAAGGTGAAATCAGGGGAAGAGCTCTGGGTTGGGTACAAGCCTGGAAGAAACAATCACCTCACCAAATACCATTTTGTGTAGTGTGGCCTGGTGGAATTTGCTGTTTGGGTTATGCTTGTGCAAACAACACAACTATGGAAAAGCACGGTAGGAATGATGTTGGTTGTATCAAATCACATAAGAACAGTTACAGACAAATTCCCATTGTGTGGGAGAGAACAAAAGGAAGATATTAAGATATGTTAAGAGTTTGTTATAGCTCAGCAAGGAGTATCAGGATGTGTTGGAGTACAAAAAAAGTGGTCCTCAAAAGGCAACATAACTAATGACTTCCTTTCAGCAAGATACATTTGGTTTACCTTGTTGAATCAGAGAGTAAAAAGTGCTGAAATGCCACAAACAAAAAGTGTAAATCTCAGTAGAAGGCATTGAAGGGTGGTATAAATATCTCTTAAAGGTTGGCTTTCTTGTCACCTGTAAACAAAAATTCAGCCTTTTATGTGTGTAATAGTTCTTTAGTCTGTTGACATCTTGATTTTTATAGTCAGAATATAATCACTACTCTGTGAACCTTGCAATTATCTGCCTTGTTCATTTGGCTATTTTAAGAAGGAAAGCTGATATGAAAGCCAATTATGAGTTCCCTTGATAATGGACATTCTTTTACCAGAATTTTTTTTTACACTACTTTGACAGTCTGCACTGTTAATATAAAGAAAGTTCTAGAACTGCACAAAACTCTCTGATCTGTCAGACATTTTCTCAAATGTAAAATAACATACGTTTAGAACTCCTACTCTGCAGAAGCAAGACTTTATAAATAACCCCATAAAGCTGGTAGTTGCTCATTTATCCTCTTCCTAAAGAAGATCCTAAAGATAGGCAATGGACTCTGACATAAATGAGCAATGCAAAAAGTTCTTTTCTCTTTTTTGTGGATAAAACAGGAAATTTGTTTTGACTGTATTCAGAGAAAGCTTTTGTCAGGATTCATTCACCTTCCCATCATTAAAATGCTAATTCCTACCTTTATAATTCTAGGTATATACTGGGCTACTTTAGCCACCTTTAGATTGATATTTCAGTTAAATCTTGTCTTTCACTTTGCCACACTGCCAACAAAGAAATGTGCAAATTAGGAATTTATGTTTCACAGAAAGAATTTGTACTGTTTTGGTTTTAAATCACAGTTGGAATCTTTTTTCACTTCTTTACGTATGTGTTAAAGAAAGGAACGATAATTTAAGAATGGATTTATTTTTCTGACTTATGTTTTTTTCTTCCAGAGATGATTCAGATCCCATTTTCTGTCATTTAATAACCTTGTGGATGCACAAAGAAAACCCTCAGGTAACTGAGAATTGTGTGGAGTGTGTCCCTGCAGTTGTGGGTCCATAGTTCTGCACATGCATGGGCAGTCAAAATGTTCAAATTCCACTTTGCAGAAAAGACATTGGTAGAAACTTCTTGAAATATACTTTTTTTTTAATGTAAATCACTTTGTACCAACAAGGTGTGAATGTAGAATTCAGCTCCAGCTTAATGCACACACATCTACATTGTTCAGATGCCTTAGATGAGCCAGAATTGTTTAATATAAATCATCCATTTTGTCAGAACAGACATTGTAGGTCACCCTCAACACCTTCCACTGGGAGATTCAAATTACAGTAACTAAAGAAGTAAAAAAAGAAGTAAACCTTGTGGCTTTAATAATGGTTTATATTGATAAATAATGAATATCTGTATGTTGAAATTGTAATTATGAAGAGACCCTGAAGACTGAGCTGAGCTTTGTGTTGGTTAGATTCACTTGGGTCCTTCTTAACCTGGTAAAGAAATTTTGCTTAAAATGGGGCTTGAACTTACTGAAGTGGATGAATCTGGGCAGATTTTGAGCTCCTGATGTTAATGATTGTTGTTCACCCAAGGATACAGGAAATAGCTACAGAGACATAAAAGTGCCCAGGAATATAACTTCATGCTTTGTACATTGTTTGATTATGGCTAAAGAGAGAACCTTGGTCTCTGGAGCATCCTCATCAGCACTGCACACACTCTCAAATTTTCCTTTTCTGGGTTAGGGTAAGTGTCTGGAAAAACTTAGCATTCCATATTTTTCTTCAGGAAAGGAAAAAATGAGAGATATTACTTTCTAAAATTTCCCCAAGGATATCTGAAGCTGACTTCCTGAAGTGTGCATGACAGAAAAGATGAAAAGCCTGTCCAGTTAAAAAGACGTACTGGATTTTTATACATTAGTTCCCTTGGCTTTTGCCTTATTAAAGCTCCCAATGAACACTCCTGAACATGAGTTAGCCTTGTAAAGATAATTTTAATCAGAAGTGGGTCTATTCCTGTAGCTAGTATTTATTTATTTATTTTACAACTATAATGACCTAAAATCATTTTACCTAAAAGTGGTTGTTCAACAGATTAGAAGGACCACGGCACGATACAACAGCCTGTGAGTGTGGTGGGGTTTTGTGTTGTTGTTTAGGGAATGGTTCCACTTTTATTATTCCTACTTGTGGGTAGGAAGTGCTGTGTTCTCAGTGTGGTGGCTGTGTGCAATGCTCACTGATTAATGCATTTCAGGGTGCCTAGAGATGGTGGTGCAGAGAAGAGGGGTGAATGTTCACCTCACAGTCGGTGCACAGGAGGCTTTCACAGCTGACACATCAACAATCCCCTGTGTGAAGCTCTGTATTCATAAGGAGAGCATTGTTTGGTGCTGGGAGCTGGGTAAGGGGATCTAAGAGCCCAGCACAGTGGGATTTAGTGCTCGAGCTCATCAGAAACCTCACCAAATTCTTTGGATTAGGCTCTTTTATTTAATGGGGATAGAGAAGCCTATTGACAAAAATGAAAGTTCATTTCAGCTCTGTTCCTATTGGATTTAGGTGGGAGGTGGGTGGCTGATTGTTTTATGTGCCTTTTATAGAGATCCACATGGGGAATGTGATGAGCCATTCCTAAGCACAGGGCAAGCTATATGCTGGCTACTGAAGGTTCCAGCTCTGACTAATTAGCTACACAGGCCTAATCTTGAACAATTCATTGAATCTTTTGACTTGAATAGAGGAAAGGAATTAATCCATGTTAGACTGAAAGATCTGAAGCACCTGGACCATTAGGTCCACTTAACTCTGAGTTTAGCAACACACTTCAGTAAGACTTTCAACCTTGGGCTTCTATGCCAAGATTAACTCTTGGGCTGTAATTTCCACATTCTAATTTCTGACACGGGGTTTTGACATAGGTATAATGCCCAATTTTTTAAAGTAGCTAAGTTTAATTCAATTCTCAAAAATCTCATAAAAATGATAATTGTATTCATAAACTACAAATGGTTTGGCTTTTGATCTCTATATGAAAACTCCTGCCCCTGCTTATGTTCAACAATAGTTAAGCAATGCCCAGAGGCACATATTAATACAGGGAGAGTTCCCACACTAATAGATGTGAGGAAATTTGCTATAGTACACTGCAGCTGAGAACCACAAGGTTTCTCTAAACTTAGAAGTTGATCTGGAGGTTTTATTGACCTGGGATAGGAACAGGGTAGAACTGAGCTAATATTAACTAGGGGTTTTTCAGGAGTTACTCTGCCCCCAGTGTACCAAATAACACCAGCTCTCTACAGATTATTTCTGATCTGCACATGCAAGTCATTTATTTGGATGACTTTTGGGCTGTCTCTTTTGGGATGTGTGATTTGATGTCACAGCCTAATAAGGCTATGACAAGAAAGATCTCACAGTTTTACCTGCCTTGTGCACAGACAGACTAAGAGTGCTTCTGGCTGCAAATCCTCCCCTCCCCTGCATGTGGCAGCTCTGTGTGAACATGAGGGAAGGTAGCATGTGATTTCCAGATCACTATTTCCTGTTCCCTCTGGAGAAAAGTTTTCAGTCAACATACAGAATTTAATATTTTCTTGTGTTAACTGCACCTTAGCCCTCCCAAGCATTACTGTAAATGATCCTCGATGTTCTGAAGTGCAGGTTTTCTTCAAAAAAGGGTAATTAAAAAAAGTATTTTTAGTAACTCCATTTGTGTATCAGTATTAAAGCAATTTTTATATTGGCTTTGTGCTACCTATTTTAACTTCTTGTTTCCTAGCCAAGACAATTTTCCAGACCAATGACAATATTCTGGACAGGAGACTTCCATTCTGGAAAAGTTTTCCTCAGTAAATGTGCCACTGAAAAGAATCATAACTATTATTTTTACCTCACACCAAAATAAAGCCTATTATGGGGCTCTTTCTACACTATTTTCTAGTTCAATATTGGCCACAGGAATATTAATTTAATTTAATAATCTAAATAATTTTTTCTCAAACTTTGTATAGTAGTAAGTGTTGCACCCTGCTAAAGTTGGTTAATTCTATGTGTTTATTCAAGCTGGGAACATTTTTTTTTCTGTGTTAACTCTGTGCTTAATACACCCCTGAGATCATACAACAATATCTCCAAAATAAAGAGGTTTAAGAAACTAGATGAAAGTGTAATTTATTTGAGAACAGTTTGTTTGGATCAATATATGTAGCACTTGAAACTTCCAGACTTCCAGCTCCCATGTGAGTCTTATTTTGAAGCCATTAGGAATAGGATTGAATAAATTCTCATTTTTGTCAACATCATCCTCCTTATTAAAAATTTCTTATATTTTCTCAGATATGCAAGTTTGGTTAAAGATCCACACACATTCCTCCAGAATTTGTGTTTGCATGTTTTGGAAAAAAAGTGGAATCAAATTTTTGCCTCGTTATTTGAATATTCTGACATAGTTCTGTCCATGTCATTAACTCAGTTCTAGCAGAATGAGTTTCTTCTTAAAACATGGAGCAATTTTCTGCATCCTTATTACAGCAGGAGAAGAATGATCCTTTAGTGGCATGAAAGCATCACCCCACATACACCTTCAAACATCAAAAGGAAATGCCTGTGGTCCTTCCTCTGCTGATCTACTTAACGGGAATGAGATCTGGTGACTGCTTTTCTCTTCACCAGCCTCATCTGCTGTCTCTCCTGGCTGTTTTGGATTTATTAGCAGGGTGACAAAATGATGCCAGAGCAGACTGTGCTGCTTTTGACCCAGAGATTCATCTGGAAGCTACGTATGATTACCATCAAATTATGAACCAGAACACCCCTGAAATGTGTACCTACTGCAGTTACAGGCCCAAATCTTTAGCAGGAAATGTTCTAGTCCAGTAAATTTATGTTTTTCACCTAATTTAGGTGTGACAATCAGTGTAAGTAGAGCCTTCTAATATGATTTTCAGTGGTACAACTACAATGGTGTATCCCTACTTTTAGGCTGATCCTACAGTTCCCTCATCCATGCCTTCCATTTATACTCATTTCTTCAATAGGAATCATAAAAACATATTTACTAGAAATTTTTTCATCATCTGTCTTCTAGAAGTTCATAGAAATATCTTTTTTTACCTACAAATATATAAGTGAGCTATGTTTGATGCCATACTTATCTAAATTTCCTTTCTTTCCATGCTTCTTCACATGACAGCTTGCTACTGCATGTTTGTGGAGCATGAGATACCTGAACTTCCAGCTAACAACTGTTATGTATTTTAACATGAATGGGTTTGAGCTCTTGTCTTACAGATGTTTTTTCCAGCTGTTCCTCAAGTCACGGTTAACTTCATAGTGCAAATTTACATTAATTACTAGCCTACTACCTGATTTTTCTCCAGAATATTCCTTATAAAATCCCAGGGAGAAATAAGTCTACTACACCCTTATAATGTTTTCTGATTTGGACAAAAATATATGCAAATAGGGATTTGGCATCTGATATTTTCAGGTTTTATAATCATTATGTTTTCTGTCAGCATAGCTGGAAAATTGCGTATTCAGAATAATACATTTATTCTTAAATGCAGAAATAGAGCAAATCCAATGACATGGTAATTTAAGTAATTCTGTGAAACTAATTCATCTCCTTCACGATTTAATTAAAATAACAGTTTCCAGACTGAAGATCCACCCTTCTACTACTTGGCATGTCTGTAAGAAGGCACAGTGCATGATCCAGGTTCCTGCATTCCAACTAAAACCAAATTATTAGGAGAGAGAAAAATAAAAAAAAAAGTGATAAATAACCCTTGTTATACTGGATAGAAAAAGGATATCAGCATTATGATTGACGTGGCTGTGGATATCTTGGAAATCTGGTTCCTTGTTAAGAAGCTTTCTCTCCAGACTACCCTTATTATTATTATTATTATTATTGTTATTATTATTATTATTATTTTTATTTTTATTTTTATTTTTATTTTTATTTTTATTTTTATTTTTATTTTTATTTTTATTTTTATTTTTATTTTTATTTTTATTTTTATTTTTATTTTTATTTTTATTTCCCCTGCTATTGTAGTTTTTCAGAATAGACTTGATATGAGTCCCTGTCTGCTCAGAATGAATGGAGAAATATTCAAGTCCAAAAATAGAACACACATGGTATTTTTATCCTGTTTTCTGAGTGAGCCCATACCCTGGTACCAGAAATCATTCTCCAAGTAAAAATTTCATCAGTTTTTAACTGCTATTCATCCTAAACTCAGTGGTAAATGGCCATGGTTTTGTGAACTTTCCCGAGAAAATATGAAAGGAAAGCATCAACTTCCTTGGATTATCCTGTTGAAGCACGAGTAATGAACAGATGTGCTATTCATACAGGTTGTGTAGAAGAACTGACTGAGGATAGGCTGTGGTTTAGTCTGCTAAGTGTCTCATTAAAATACTGCCAGTCATATTCAAAAGAAGAGTACTTGAGCCAGATTCTTTGACAGGAGAGTCTTACAGAGCCTATTTAGTAAAATATGAATAAAATATGAACTTCCTGAAGTGATACAACCGCTGGGAGAGAAAACTTGTTTGTGGAGGCAAGAATTCATTGCTCCTTTGGTACCTAAGGGTCTCTAGCACAACCAGAGTCGTGCAGTGAACATCTGGGAAGAAGGAGGGGGAAGTGCAAGTTCTGGATCATGTTCCAGCACCTCTGAAATGCTGTAGTGACCACAACATTTTCACTTGATTATCCTGAGTTCCCACAGCATTTTGCTTGTTTTGAAAGGAGCCCCTGATTTTACAGGACTTTGGATGTGTTGCCTTGAGAGGTTAATAGAAATATTAGTGAAGCAGGCAAAGGAAAGAGCAGACGAGCAAAAAGAGAAGGTTCCAAGGGAAGTAGAATAATTCATGGTCTAGAAATGCAGTGAGTACTGAGCTGTAGCTCAGCCTTATTCTCTACACAGATTACTGCAAGAAGGTGAGTGTTGGACTGAGGCCAGACACTGCCAGTGTGAATTGCAGCAACTGGGGGAAAGAATAAATTAATAATGGGCATAAAAAAACAAATGAAGCTCTGTAAATCTCATGTTCCCTTTGCATGGAAATGTGTTAAATTGCTGTGCATTTTTTCTGGCACTGTATACATAGCTAAGCAGTAATGTATATTTCTCATCTACATCACTGTAAAACAGGACTAATCTGTGTGACAGCATTAGAGATCCTTTACTATGTTACAACATTACTGTCAAAGATATTTTATATATACTTGTAGGCATTCTATTTTATATATATATATATAAGTATTTTATAATACTTGAAGGTATTCTTTGTTCTACCAATAATATTATCCCTTATCAATATGAAGGAACCGAAGAAATGTAATAGCTCTTAAATAAAAAATGCTCTTTGAATACTATGAAAATACAAAGCTGAATGAAATGAGTCACTGTATTCATCTGCAAATACTTAAAGCTTGTTTTTTGCTTTTAAATCAGTTAAAATTGGATCAAGACCTCTGAGCTAGATAGAAGTGCATGTAGTTATGTGATCCCTATTACATTAGAATGGAATTAAAAAGGCACAAAAAAGCTATTCTGCTTCTCCCATTCAGTTATGTGTGTATTATGTGTGCATAGCATCATACACCACAGTTTACTTATCTTTGCTCAAGAACATGCTTTAGCTATTAAAAATAAAAAGAATAACAATGCTCAAAAAGACCAAAGTGACTGGTCTGTTTCTACAGGTCTTTTTTACTCAGATGTCCACTAAATTTTTCATTTTTATGAGATAATGACAAGACAGTGCATCTGAAATTCTGAAAGCAAAAGCTAAATAAGCCATTATCTTTTGCCCCAAGTCCTTGGAACATCTCAAAAAAGAAATAAAAGGGTGTTCAAATGCTACTGATAAAAAGCAACATAAGACTTGTTAGAGAATGAAGTGACTGAAGTCTGGAAAATGCCCCTAGAATTAAACTTTACTGTTGCAGGAGTAAGTCTAGGGGCTCCTAATGATTTGACAAGTTTACCTATGATAACTCTGGTATTTTTATGGTTTCATACATGTCCTTGTGCTTAAGTGATGGTAGGGGTTTGATCCATGACTTTGGTATGCTCCTGTGCCAGGTTACAGAAGAATCTGGGTTTTGTCCTGAAAATGAATTTATAGAATGTTTTAACTGCATGCAAGAGCACCCAAATTTTGGACTGCTTTTGTGCTGACAGGTATTTTAATGGCATTTGGCATGACATTAGTGATGAATCTATGTTTTTCACTTTATATATCGACTATGGAACTTGAAGTATTGTGATTATCAAAAAAACCAGTTAGCTCTAAGTGCCATTTACATGTTGCACAGTACTGCTGGCAGGACTCGATGCCTGATATTCAATATATTTATTTGGCTGATCCTCCACGCTCCCCTCTATAGTCATAGGTCATCTACTGACATGAGTGGGATTAAGGGTATGGGCAGTGACTGATGTAGGCAGCAGAGACAGGGAATTACACGGATAACGTGGGTTGTGCTGCTGGGGATCTAAAGGGAAATAATCACCAGGCTCTCTTGGTTTCTCTGTGGAGGAGGACCTGGGCAATGAAACAAATGCCCAACCCACTTGCTGCTCGTGTTGAATTTGTCTCCAGCCGCAAACACCTGGAGGAAAAGTGTCTGCTGTGGGCGCTACCTTTGATTTCTTCTCGATTCAGTCTTTTCTTTCTCCATGAGGGGAAGCAGGAGTGCCTGCAGCGTGTACCGAGATGGTGGAGTTGGGGGTGTAGTGTCAGATAAGCTGCATTTTCACGGCAGTCCCTCACAGAGAGCGGAATGTGCCACGCTTTCTCTCCCAGGTGCAAAGGGAGCAGGCAGCTCCTACCCTGCTCGTGTTGCAGCAGGAAGAGGGAATTTGTTGCGGTGATTTGAGGCGTTAACTCTGCCAAATACACGGCGGTACCCCCTGGTCACGAACTCGGACCTGCTTTCTGTTTAGGCACAGAATCAGGAGTGGAAGTTAATTTGGCTTCACTCGCCAGACGGCTGCAGGAGCCTGGGGTTGCCGGGCAGGAGCACAGGGAATGTTTGCTTTTACTGCTGGGGGGATTGGGGCCGAGCGAGGCAGCGCCGTGGAGCTGCGGGGAGCTCTTCTCTTTTTCTGGGAAATTTGATGCGGGCTTGGG